CAATAAAAGAATTTAATACAAAAATAATAATAAATTTTTAAAAAAAGAATGCATATTACCTGGCACATTCTATCAATATTTTCTTCAGTTGGCATTACAAAGTACACTGCAGGAACATCTGGAATAGGGTCTCGATCAGAGTGCAAAAGCCTAGAAGAAGTAAAGGACATAAAACTCACTTCTTAGTCACTTTACTGATTAGCATATGCTTGTAGTATGTAATATTTACATTCTTTGTGTGGTGTTGGTACAGGTCCCTAATACATCCTAATTGCTTCCTTTGATCCCTTGCCTCCCCTCCTTCCATCTCTTAACCCCCTTCCCATTTAAGATCTATCTCCTGGGTTCCTATTATCTATTTTTATTTTGCTCTTTATTTATAATTTGGGTTTCTCATGTAAGAACAGTCATGCAATACTGAAGTTTGTGTTACTTATTTCACTTTCCTACAAATTTCTTAGTCACTCTTTTTTTTTTTGGTACCTGAGATCCAACTAAGGACTTTGCACTTTCGAGGCAGGTGCAGTGCCACTGAGCTAAATCCCTGGCCCTTAGTCACTTACTTTTAAAAGACAGTTTAAAACAGTATTTCTCAAGCTCCTGTCACTCTTAATCAGTTAATCCAGCTTTTTCCTTAAAAAACATAAAAGAAAAATGTCTACCTAGTCAATATAAATATTATTTATTAGTAAAATGCTAATTTCTCATTAGTTTTTATTTTTTCTATTCAATCTGACTTATTTTTAGTTATCGCTTATGGTCAGACATTCTCCTCTACCACCATTCTTGAATAAAACTAAAATGCATTCAAAATAAATTTTATATTCAGTTTTCACGGAAGTATGAGCGGTTGGGGATGATACTGGTGAAAGTGCAGGTCTCCCCAAAAGGGAAAACAGAAAGTTGGTGGCGGCTTTAGAAACAATGCAAAAATTAAACTAAACATGAAATCAAATATATTTTAAAATCAAAGGTAAATGAACATTTCCTAAAAAACTTAATCAATTTTTGTTTGTTCATTTGTTTTTTACAGGGTGCTAGAGATCAAAACCAGGGTCTTGAATACGCTAAGTTGTACCACTGAGCTACAGCCCCAGCTCCAACTGATATTTGTGTATTTATTGCTTCATTAAAGAATGGACAAGAGACCATCTCAGAATCCTATAGAATCTTAGAATCCCATCTTAGAATCCACAAACTGAAGAGTTTTGTCTTTTTATAACTCAAGGGAAGTTTTCATTCAGCTATCCCAATATCAAATTGCAAAATCTCTTTATTCTTCAAGAGTTACTATCATGTTCTATCAGGGAACATGACTGACACTCTATTTCTAGAATATCACCACCTCTAGTCATTTTTCTATAATCAAGAAGAGTGAAAGGGGCACATGCTGCCAGTTCCTAAACTGTCCAGACAGGGCTCCTACTTGCAATCCTCCTGCCTCAGCTGTGGAGTGCTGGGATTATAGGAGTGCAGCACCACACCTGGTTAGGTTGCTACAGGCTAGTCGTCCAACTACCTCTTAAAGGGCTACAACCACCACTTCATATTCTAGAAACTTATTATTACTGTTTCCTACAGTGAGCCTCAAAGAGCTCTCAGAGCATAAAGTGACTGATGCATTATTCACCAGCAAACAGAGAAAAATGGTCAGAGGCAAGGTTTGCAAGAGTTCACCATAGTAGTTATGCAACCTTTCCTGGCCCTGGTGGTAACAGCTCTCTGTCTCTTAGACTCTCAAACTGGTAGGCTCTCCTGTTATACCTTAAGGAAGTGCTGTGTTGGGTCTCAGTTCTACTAGCCCCTGTAACTGAACCACTGTGATTCAGTAGATAAATATCACAGAACTGGTGGTAAAGCAATCTGGCCACAGTTCTGTTTTTAATTAGTTGTTCAAATGTGAGATACTTACTTAACCTTTCTAAACTTTAATCTTTCCATTAGTAAAATAAAAAAGCAAAGCAGTATCAATGGTAAATCGTGCTAATTAATAATCCACTATTTACAAGGATAGCAGTAAGCTACATTTCAGTTTAGTTCATGAAAATTAACACATTACCAAACCAAACTTCTGTTTCAAGTCTAACATTAAAATGAAAGGAAAAAAATCTGTCAAATACCCTATTTCATCAGATCTATGGTGGTATCAATTCTAAAACCTATTTTGTACATCATTTAGAAAAAACGCTATCCACTATGACATGTCATCAATTGAAATATAGATTCTAATCACAGAAACACAAAAAAGTATGTAATGTATTTAGAATTGATGCAACTGGGGCTTGGGGTGTAGCTCTGAGGTAAAGTGCTTGCTTAGCACACATGAGACTCTGGGTTCTTCAACCCTCAGCACTCAGCACTGCAAAAAAAAAAAAAAAAATAAAAAGTAGAATTGATGAAACACAATACTCTATTAATTATAGACAAATTACAGTTGGATAAAATACTTATGCAATTAAGAATTTAAGCTGATC